GAGTTTTGAAGTTATCAAGACTGAAGGAGCAGCTGTGAGCCATGGCTGCAGCTGCTTCAAATGTTGATATGTGCCTGAATAAAATCACTTGTTTCTAATCACATTCGTGCCTTTTGATTCTCAAAGAAAGTCACATTGATTGATGCCAATAAAATGTAGGATGGTTGCATCTTGCAAATGCGTGCCAGACACTTCTTTGAGCTGATGTTTATCATGAAGCCAGAACATCAAATGTAATTTTACTTGAGCAGGACTGGAGTATGGAAAAAGTCTAATATAGATGCTATCCCAAAGCTATCCCACTTCAAAAGCATATCTGTTAAAAAGCGCCCATCCATAAAAAAAGTGTCTCACACAGCTCCAGGGGGTGAACAAAGCTTCTGATAACAGAAGACATGCAATGAAAATCAAGCGATAATCATGTAATCTGATGTCCTATTGTTTTTAAATAGGGTCCTCTTCTTTTAGAAATGGAATTTCAACAATCCACATTACCATTGTAGCTTATAGCACAACTGAAAATATATATTTATCCGTAAATCAAAGGAGACCAATCTGGACTGCTTCAGCTACAGCGCAGTGCATGCATGCGTTCCTGCTTCTCGTTGATGTTGGTCTTCATTTAAAATCTTTCCAGGCCATTTTATGGATTTTCATTTATGCATTTGGTGGCATGATTATCACTGCTCCCCTTTCTTTTCTTTTTTTTAGAAAATTGATGTTTTAGACCAGTGTTTCCCAAAGGGGGGTCATGAAGGAACTCCAGGGGGTTCGTGAGTTGATGAAAAACGAATAATGAATTACATTGAATTTAAAAATAAAAATAAATAAATGGGGCTGCATGATAATCGTGATATGATCCATTGTATTCAGTGTCTCAGAGCAGCTTGGTTCACAGTAAATGCAGTGACTCCACAAACATTTTGTGGACAGAAGTTGACAGCATTTCACCAGTATTTCACCAAAATAAAAGCTCATTAATTTCTGACTGTGGACGGAGACACTATCACAAATAAAAAGCGAGTTCACTTTAAAGTCCAGCTACTAAGTCAAAATAAAACACTAATACTAATTGCATGTTATGTGACCATTTACCAACATCAGAGAACCGTGAACATGCAAATGTGTTGTTGAATTATTAAAAGTGTAACTATTAAACTTTAAGGAAATAGTTCAAGAAAATATTTCATGTCTAAGGGCTTTGGCTGGCAAAAAAAGTTAAAACAGCACCCCTGTTTTAGACCAATCATCATTTGTAATTTCATCAGATTCACAGATTAGGCTTGTCAGATGTAATTTTTAGGAAAAAAAAAATTCACCTAATTTCTGGGGGCAAAAACTGCAGCAACATTCACTTGGTCATGTCTACTCTGCAGTACTTTTGCACACAGACCCACACATGACATGTGGAAAAAATAAATATCGTGGCCACCAATTAAGAATTTGTTCCCACCACTTATTATTTTTTTCCCCATTTTAGTTAAATTGTGGCCATGTATGATACATTGTTTCATGTGCAGAGCTCTATACATTTTAACCCTGTTACTTAAAAAATAAAACTACACTTCGATGCACACAGTTAAGCAACATGCAGTATACAGTAGTTTTAAGCTTTTGCATCTCTCCCTATCCATCTTGTGCAAAAACACATACAATAACACTTCATTTGAACATTTACTGTATTCGGGCTAATGCAAAGCATGCTGAGAACTACAACTCTCCTGCAACTCATTTAGTTTGAGTTCAGCTGAATATATTAGATATATATTATTGAGTTCATGCTACTTTTTTTATAAGTACAATGAGCTAGTAATAGTTGAGCAAATTTTACAAATTTTATTAAAGGGGTCATATGATGCGATTTCAAGTTTTCCTTTCTCTTTGGAGTGTTACAAGTTGATTGTGCATAGATAAGATCCCTGAAGTTGCAAAGAACTTTTTTATCAAAGTTAAGACTCTGCCACGCCCCCCTAAAATGGCACGTTCTAACACGCCCCCACATATCTACCTCACTATGTGGAAATATTACCATAATGCAGCCCAAATGTGCACGCAAAGAAAGAAGGCGTGGTTTCAGTAACCGCAGTTAGTGTTGAAGCAGCATGTCAGGGAGACGCTGTGTGTTTCTAGGCAAAAGCAAAAGCACTTTATTTGGCCTTTCGAAAGTAGATGCATTTAGGAATCTAAGATTGCTTACAACAGAACAGCAATGCATTTTATGGACGACTGTTTCGTGAACCTAGGAGAGGAGGTAATTCTGACTTTGCTATGACAATCTGGCGCTTCTGAATCAGCTACTGTTTTGTTATTAGTTTAAGTATTTGCAATTGACTGTGAGAGAGAGAGAGAGAGAGAGAGAGAGAGGGAGAGGGAGGGGGAGAGGGGGGAACTCACATCACAGTGGAGTCAGCTGTCTTAACCGTGGCTTGTGTACTGCACACATACCAGCTTCATCACTGTGTCTGTCACGCGACTCTGTTCCCCTTTCGGGCTCTGTCTTTACATTTATTTTGAAAGATGAAGCTCGCGATTATGGTAAGGGGCGTTACATTTCCGACGAGTGCTTGCGGTGTTCGGCCAATCACAATGCACTGGGTCAGCTGGCCAATCAGAGCAGACTGCGCTTGTCGGAAGGAGGGACTTTGTAGAAAACGAAGCGTTTGAGAGAGGCGGGGCATAGAGGACCTACAATAATGTACAGTATCTGAAAAATAATGTGTTTTTTGAACATTAAAGCATGTCAACATATTCTGTTACACCAAATACACAAAATAATGATCTTTAAAAAAGCATCATATGACCCCTTTAAGTTTCACTGTTTGGTTTTACAGTGTAATCCATTGTTAATGCATGCATGCATTTGTTACCAAATTCATCAAGAAAATGGATGGGATATTACAAAGGTAGAATGGAAATGATATTGAGGACATAAGACACAACTACACATTTATTACCACCTAAAGTTTCTAAGAAAACATGTTTCATTTGAAACATTTCAATTAAAGAAAGGAAGGAAGAAATAATTGTAATATTTCAAATAATTGTATGAATTTTTTCATGACAGAAATTCAGAGCCCTCAGTGATTTGAAAAAAGTCTGAAAGTTCACTTAAAAATTAAGTTAACTTAACCATGATATTTTGATTAAATAAAACTGTTAATTTGTGAGTTGCTCATCTAGTATATTAGATAGTAACATATGAACTTGAAAAAGACAGTGCACTCTATGGCAGGAATGACTCTTTTATGTGTATTTGGGATGCATGCATTTAAAGAATTTTAGCAATATGTGTGTGTCCAGTTAGGAACATTACAGAAAATGGTTTGTACAAATTTGGAAGCTCTAGTTTTTCTAAAACTTAATGCATTATTTTGAAAACGTGTACGTTCTTTGTCTGGCCATAATTCTTGTCTAACACTGTGGTTTTTGGGATTTCATCCTCTGTCTGTTGTCTTCCAGACAATCTCTGTGTCTGTATCGGTTCTGACACTGAGCTGCATTGCCCAAGATCGCTGGTACGCTATCTGCCACCCCCTGAAATTCAAGAGTACTGCCAAAAGAGCCCGCAAGAGTATCGTTCTGATCTGGCTGGCATCCTGCGTCATCATGATTCCACAAGCCATTGTCATGGAATGCAGCAGTCTGCTCCCAGAGCTCACCAACAAAACCAGCCTGTTCACCGTGTGTGATGAGCAGTGGGCAGGTAAGAGATCCTTTTACTACTGAAACCTCTCCTATCAAGACACGGTGGGGCTATATACCATTTTAGACAGGCCATTTATTTTTGCAGCGTGAGTGCTGGGAGATAGTAAGGTTCAAGCACTTATCTACTGCAACCTGTAGAACATAGTTTGTGGCTGAAATGATCTTCTCTCCACAACAGTGTTCAGTTCAAACCAATCAAATCAAAGATTTTAAGAACAAAGTTCTATGTTTTTAGTACATAACAGAACATATGATGCCTACCTGTATTTAAAAAAATACATCACAATAAACATAAAGATCTTTCAAAGTTGTCTTTATTTACCGTAAGTAAATTAAACATTGACAACATGTTTTATCTTGTGAAAATTCTACTCTCATAGAATAGCTAATAGTGAAACAAAAACATTTAAAGTTGTTCAAATGCATTTTTGTGTCTAACTGTGTATTGGTCAAAATGTACTTTGTATTCAAATATTTTGGGATGGGTTTTGAACATGCAGTGAAACCATCATATCCTCTTTTATGTTTTAGAATTAGTCACTTCATGTCAACGTACTGTTATGAATAATGAACGCCTCATACCGTGCATATTTTTTCAGTAAATTCTCCATTCAGTTTTATAAACTGTGAAATTTGTCAAAAGCAGCACTACAAATCAATGGAGCCCAAAGGAAATTGCCCCCCCCCCCCTTTTTCACCCAGTTGCCATTCCATCTTGAACTGTATGTTGCCAGATTAAAAATGAATCAAAATCTCATGGATTCAAACGTTTATAGTGCTGTGCAGCATATTCCTTTAAAAAGATTAAATCTGTTTGCATTGATCGTTTCCTTTGCTGAGCAAAACGACACCATGAGAGATGAAAAGACATCAAAGGCATAGTGCGGCTCCCTGATGAGAAACGTGGGCCGCCCCCCTGATGAGTTCTCACAATGGCCCCCAATGAGTCAGTTATGCCACAATGAAAGAAGCCAGTATGAAGAGGTGGGGGTCCATGAGATGATTATTGGGTCAAACAGTAATCTCCCATGTGGCAGACAATTTGCTGGATGAGAAAATAACATTAAATCACCTTTTTCCAATATCAATCAAGTAGAATTTCATAGCAACAAGTCAAGGATTTTATTGCAATTGCTGCTTATTGCAACAACAAAGCGAATGAGGTTAAAATTCAGATGACTAAATAGGAATATTTCAATGGGAATAGAATAAAGGAGTTAAGCTTCTCTCTGACTTCCTTTATATGAAATACTTAATTGGCAAGGCAAGGCAAGTTTATTTATATAGCACATTTCATACACAATGGTAATTCAAAGTGCTTTACATAAAAGGAAGTAAAATAATCACAATAAAACAATAAAACAAGGAATTTAAAAACTTTTAAAATCATTTAAAAATTGATTTAAAATGAATTTAAAACAGTTAAAAATAGAAAATGATTATATATAAACTACAGTGCAATAAAGCAGGCTTGGACAGGCTTTTATTTTTAACTTTATAATTTTGTCTTAATATCACATTCTTGCAATGTTATATTAAAACATGAAGACTTTTAAGCTGAGTTTTAGGAAAGTTCATAATATTAAAACAAAACATTTTCATATTAATTCAATTACTAGCTAAAAATCTTTGCATAAACCATTTTGAACTAAGCATTTTTGCCAGATCAAAGATGCCAAATTTGATGCCACCTCATTGTATATGCCTTAGCACTATAAATATAAGATTAAAGTGAAATCAAAAGTGGATCTCAGAAGTCGACATCTCCACTCTTTGGGGAGCTGCCGACATTAAAAATCTCTTAAAAGAGTCTTCTCAATAATTCTCTGACTCTCCAAAGAGTTTGATGCTCTGTCACTATTTTGGAACTGCTTTCTGTAGGCTGTAATGAATCAAATCTGTCGTGAAGCTGAAAGTATGACAACTGGTGCAATTTTGGCCCTTTGTGATGTCGTGCTGCCATTGCAAGTCACAGGCTTTAGGATTTAGCAACAGGTGTTTGAGCAAATCACTGTGCTCAGAGCAGATGTCAATCACAATAAATTCAAGCAGATTTGCTAAAGGGTCTTGTTGTCATTTCCTGCTAGAATACCATTTTATAACGCTCACCCTAGGGTTGCCGCACAATTACTGTGATAAAACCCAGCGCTGCTAAATATTACAAACCTGGGCTGTCAATCTAAACAGCGTGAGATGCTTTTGAAAAAATGTGTCACTCTCCATAGGATGTTTGATGAAGTGGGAAGAGTCATTTTATAGAACCACATTGATAATAACACTGGCAAGTGCTCTTAATGCTTACTGCTTTTACAACGCACAGGAAATTATTGTTTATTTTTTAATTCATCAAGCCCATTTTCAGAGATAATCACAGTGTCTCAAGTGTCTATCAGGCCTCTCTGTGACAATGGAGAGATGAACACATTTCTATCTCCATTAAATGACTGTTTGTTATCACATGTTCTTATTTGCTGCTTTTCCTAGAATTGAGAAATGAAGGTCCATAAATAACACATTTTTTTCTAGCTTCCATTGCTTAAATTGCTGCTGCAAAGTCAAACTTCCCTTGTGTTTTCCCCCTCATTTTCATGTCCTTGATTTTACTGGAGCCCTGTATATATATATATATATATATATATATACAGGGCTCCAGACTGCGACTAGCTCCAGACTAACTATTTTTACTAGGAGCATTGTAGCCCCTGACTGAACATTTTTAGGAGCTCAAGTAGAAAATTTAGGGGCACACCTTAAATCAAGCTGCATTGCAATCGTTCGCATATTTTCCCCATTTTAACTGTATTACTGACAAATGCTTTGATAATAAATACACTTAACTCATAGAAATAACAATGTGCAGTATTCTTTTAATTAGGGATATGACAAATATATATATATATACAAAATCTAATTAGAAAAGGTATATATTGTACCCTTATTAAATGTACCATTATTCGTCTATAGCAGCGGTGGCGAACTCCGGTCATGGAGAGCCGCAGCCCTACAGAGTACAGCTCCAACCCTAATTAAAACTCACCTGCCTCCCCCCCTGCCTGTAGCTTTCTAGTAACCCTTCAGACCTTGATTAGCTTGTTCAGGTGTGTTTGATTAGGGTTGAAGCAAAACTCTGCAGGGCTGCGGCTCTCCAGGATCGACGTTCGCCACCCCTGGTCTATAGTCTTATATGGAACTGACCAACAACTTCAGTGATTATGTGATTTAGTCGCAAGTTCATACGCAAAAAAAACGGACAAAATCTGATTTCTTGATGATTTGATATTTTATAATAGTTTATAATTGTGATTTTATAATTTCAAACTATAAAGGAAAAAGTATAAATTAATGACTAATAAGACAATAAGTGCTCTTCTGCTGCCTGTAGCGCATCAGCTCATGGGAAATATGAATAATTAACCATAACTAGTTATAATTAATTAAAAAAAACGGACAAAATCTGATTTCTTGATGATTTGATATTTTATAATAGTTTATAATTGTGATTTTATAATTTCAAACTATAAAGGAAAAAGTATAAATTAATGACTA